TTTTGAATACAGCTTTAATATATTCATAATTTACTGAAATGAAATGCCTCTTAGAAAGATGAAGGGCAAGAATCTAAAGGTATTTCATCTAGGAATATTAAGCTGAAATGGTTATTGCTATTTACTAGTTATACCTTAAAAGTAAAATATGAAATGTCATACAACTTGGCTTTCTCTCAAAAGAGGACACAATGGTACCTAAGAAAAAATGTTAATGTCACAAGTCCTCGTCCCTGCCTTATAATCTTTCATCTTTTTTAATTGTAATTAATTTTTTAAAAAAAGAGGCAATGCTTATTGACAATTCTGAATCTTATACTCTAAAACAAAATAAATCTTTTTGAACCTTTAAAAGAAAATACCTCAATGATGGTTGGTTTGCCCACATTTTCTACAGTTGGTGAGCCATACAGCACTCCATCACTGTATGGTGTCCTTTGTATATAGCGTAGCCATCCAGGTCTGTCAGGGTAACCCATTAAGTTGGTATTAAATGTTATAGGATCATTACTTATTTCACCTAGATAAGAAAAATTATATTAGAGTATTTACAAGAAAATACTATACACTTTGATTTTGATGTTTCCATTAGAAAATTTTATTGTCTTCCAGTTATGCCTTCTAAACATTTCCAAAAAGGAAAAAAAAGCTAACTTTCACCATATCAGAAATCTGTGAACTCCTACTCAGCACTTGTAAGTATTAAGAAATTCATATCTGAAAAGTGTAACCAACTGCAGAGATGAATGTGCTTCTTAGAGTCCTGGCTAACTCTGTGTGCTTGCACTCATTAATTAGTAGGTCTGATTTTTAGAGCTCAGTTCTGCCTAGAATTGAAGCATCTAACCTCCTTACTGACAAATGCACAAAGGTCTCAGTCCTTTAATTCCCAAAAAAATCTTCTTTTATTTAAGTTTTTAATAATGGCTCTGGAGACCCAATGTACCTGGGCAGGCTTACTGTAAAGAGTGGCTGTGTAATCATCAACGTCTGAAAGCTTCTCTTAGCATCAGGATATACATACAGGTCTTCAGCACCAACAGCCTGGCAGTAGTTTTTCTTTAGAGAACAAATTAACTCAAAAAAGGACCAGACATTCCTGCAAAATGGATCCACTGATGGCTACTAAATACAATGGTCCAGATGCAATCTCTAAAAGCCCCTAAAGTTAAACCAGTACAACAGTTCTCGTGGTTCTTATTGATACTCTTACAAATGGCCAGATTTGACTTCTGTTTATTTTAGCTTTTGTAAGCACTACCAGATCCTCACCACTGAGGCGTGAGCACCTTACAGGTGAGGCACAGAACTCAGGCAAATCCGCTCTGAGCCTGCGCAGACGCCTCTGCACTGCGTTCCTCCAACTTGGCTTTGAAATGGCAACAGCAGCAGTTGTAGGACAAGTGACAAGAGAAGATGACAGGCAGGCTGGCACAGAAGGCAGAAACTGAGCCCAGTGAAGAAAGAACAGCTGTCATCTCCTCCAGAGAGGAACAAAGAGACTGAGACCTGTTGCCAAAGGGTAACTAGTTTTCAGGTATGCATTTACGCACCTGGCTGTGGGTAAAAGGGACCAAAACCACACCAAACCAGCACCAGGATGCAATGCAGCTTTCCTCGCAATTCTCTTGGGACATCCCAGTAATCAAATCTATTGCATTCATAATAAAATTCCCAGCATCACAAGTGATTTGGGGAAAAATCTGAAAGCTACCTGTGATACATTCTGGTTTGCCCCTCATCAAGGTAGGCTATGCTAGTGATCCAGCACAGCAGACAAAAATAAAAGGACCATGGTAACAGCTGGCCTTACAGTGAATTTCTGATATGATCACAATCATCTATGGGTACAACAATTTCAGCAGTATCTGAAATCAGATTCCTACTGCCTTTGAATCACATGAATGTCAAGCCAGGCTGGGGCTGTAAGGATTCGAAAGACAATCCATCTTTAGTAAAATTTCCAGGTTCCTTCCATCTATGTGCTGAAATTGGGAGAAAACTGGGACAGAGGCAAACTTCACTCTGCCAGTCACTGTTACATGAAATGAAGATTCAGGTATACATGTCAGGAAAAACATCCATTTTTCAAGGAGAGGAAATTTTTAAAACATTTGGGTTTATTCATGACAAAATTTAACCAATGTTAACAGAAGCTTATTTTTTCTTTAAAGTGATTTTTGAAAATAGTACTTCTCAAATATTTTCAAAAGCTTATTAATGAAACAGGTTTTGATTACATGTGCACTGTACTTTTATTATAGGTTTTTCTTATTTTTATAGGAAAATAGGACAGTTACATTTATATAAATAGTACACATTTATATATTTATTATTCCTTTTCATTGTTGATAAGCATGTGGGGCAGAATGTTCTCTCTTTCCCCCCGTCGATTGCTCACACATATTCTAACCTGCCAATGAACAAACCTTTGGTGTACGTCAAATCACCATACTTAGGAAATCATGGCTCTTTCTCTAAAAACAAACTGCTTACTAACATTAAACTGTTTCTAAATGAAGGCCGAAAAAGGAGCTTTTGTTTTAAATGAAAGAAAACATCACTACGTAGTCTCATATTTGCTTTAATCTTCTATTTTGTCTCAAGTTTACTACATGCTTTCAAAGTGCTCCTTCACATAGCCTGATACATACTACATCTGAAACAGTGATCAGATAAATGGCATTTTTAACAGACATAATTAATAAACTTCCACAATTTCATATTTAACGCGAAAGCGAAGAAAAGGTATACTTCCTAATCTCAGATATATCATGTCTGAGATTATATATCATATAATTAGGCCTTCCCAAATTATTAAGTACATTTTTCACAATACACAATTATATGCACCTTTTCACAAATGATGATCACAAACCAGAACATTTTAAACTTGTAGGACCATGTATTTTATTTCATTTGAAGATACTTCAATAGAAACTAAAAACTGTCCTTTGTATGTTATTTGCTGAACTGTAAGGTATGCTAAATAGACTTGAATTTTTTTAAACTTTTTTTTCTTTTTTTACATTTTTATATAATATGGAAGATCTTAGCATCCCATACCAGGCTTTGGGTAAGGAGGAAATTCCCCCTTAAAGTACTCTCTCTCCAAAACATGAACAAAAAGAACTCCAGCAGAAGGGTATACATTCCGATCAGAGTGCACCTTAGACAGAATCGTGTACACTGAAAAGCAGAAGGAAAGATAAGAGACAGAAAAAAGCAAAAATGAGACATGCTCTAGATAATACAGCATGCATTTCAACAGCAATGTGGGCAATCTGGGAGAAGGAAAGCAACGAATATTAGATACCTGTTAATAAGTTTTTTAAAAGGTTGCATAGGTTTAAGAACAGAACACAGAGCAAACCCTCTCTTTGCCCAACAGGATCCCTTCCAACACTGCAATAAACAAAACCAGCTATCTTAGGATTTCAGAAGTTGTACAACCTCTTTATTTTTATTGCAATTAAAAAAAAACCCGAGGGAAACTACTGTAATTTTATAGTTGGTTTATTTGTAATATTACATCAATAAAATACATTAAATGAATGATACAACCGTGTTTTCTTGATATTTTACGTAAAAATAAGGAACATGAGAAATACGGAGGAGCCTTACCAATTAATGGTACTGATTCCTCACTGAATGGAAATGGCAGATTTTTTTGTTCTTGTGCAGAAAAGGACAAAGCAATTCACTTCAGCTGAGGATTTCTACGAGTTCTTAAAGCTAGACTTTCTTAGACCAGCAAGTTCAGGTAACGTATGTCTAAAAATCTGGCTGAAGAGCTCATTTGTATTGAAGGATAAAACAGAAGGACGCGGGCAATTATAGGCCAGTCAGGTGTCACTGACGCCAAACAATAAAATGAAGCCATATTTTTGAGGACTCAGAATTAAAAACCTAAAGGAAACTTAATTCAGAACAACCAGCATATGTAAAAGCAATATGCTATTTTTTATGTAATTACAAATTTAGTTGATAAAAGCAAGTCTTACTTAGGTATAACACATTTGATGCAGTACTATATACACATTTTAATGAATTAGAAGACTAAAAAAAAATCATTGACACATTAAATGGATAAGAAATCACGTTATCGACGTTTCAAAATTTAAGTATAAATGGAGAATACTGATCTAATTGGTGTTTCTCATGGTGTCTTAACAGGACTGATTGTAGGTCATATTACTATTCCGTATTACTATTGAATTTGAAGTCAATGCCCTGAAAGAATCAATAATTGCTGATGAATTTTGTCAATGAGCTGAGGATTACACAAGTGGTAAATAAAGATAAGTCACAGACTCAGAGACACACAGCTACCTGCCTTGCTTGCTAAACTGAAAGAAGCTTTATGAAAAGTCACATCTCTAAACAAAGATTATAGGCCATACAGCATGGGGGTACTGTCATAGGGAAGAGCCAAGACTTCCGAGTCATTGTAACGAGCTCATAGGAACAAACTCATACCTCCTAGAAGATAAAAGGGCTAATTTCAACACTTGGATCAATAAGCAAGATACATTTGAAATGCGGATCAAGCTCATGCAATTTTCTAATCCTGGTATAATTTCTCCAGTCTTATCATTATACCAACCTTCTTACTTGAGAACCACTTAAAAAGCCACTGCTAATTAGGCATTAATCACAGACATTCCATCCCTCGCACAACGTACTCAGTATGGAATCTATCTCACCTAATTTTAGATGCCTACAGAAACAACATCCACCACTGACTTAGTCAGGCTCCTTTTATAGTCAGTGGAGGAGAAACAGACGCTTCTAGGGGTTGATTAATTTGATTTCTCCTGTAAAATGAGATGAATCACGTCCTAGATTCCTGACTACACTGACTAGATCTCCACTGACTGCAGAGGCAACTGAGAGGAGACGCAGACATCTGTAACGTAGACCTCTACATTTAGTTACATACTTCCCACTCTTCGAGCCTGATACTGCAGAATTAATAGTCTCAAGCTCTGGATATACTGTTGATCAAATTCCACAGCAGTTGCTGTTTCCCACTTTTGGAAACCGCTTTTAACTCAGTACTGAACAGAGTATCTTTCTAATAATTTTACCTTAAAGACAAAACTAAAGTGGATCCTGAAATTTAAATAGTTTATTACAATTTTGTGTGGTGAATAAACAAGTTACTGTAATTTTAATTATGTAGACTTGATTTAAGTACAGTAACATAGCTATCTGATTTGTATAATTAAAATTAGTAAATTGATGACCCAAAAAACTTTTGCACTCACTTCTGTGAATGAGCTGTAAATAGAGCAAGGAAACTAATTGATTTCCTTTAAAATATTTTCAAGAAAAGCTGAAAAAGTAATTTATAACAGTAATAGAGCAGAAAAGCTGACAAAAATATGGTGGCTGGCTGAAAATGTGTCAAATATCTAGAAAAATCCATTTTTCCATTTCTGATGCTTGGACTCCACAATGAAAATCCATTTCAAACAGGAAGAACAGTGAAAAAGTAATTTATATTTTCTCCATAAGCAATAGTTTTAGAAAGGAAGAAGGACAATAGAATCAGCAGTTACTGAAAAAAAAACCAAAATAACATATTTCTTTTGTCTGAAAAAAAAACCGATATAACATATTTCTTTTGTCTGTTAGAGGAAATCTATTGCCACCACTAAATGCCTGCCCATTCCTAGTAATGAGACGTTCTCTGTTGCTGAAGCGAGCATACCAATAAGGATTTCATGCAGATATAAAACAGTGATCTTGGTGGAACTTTAAAAATGCATCTCAGAAGGAAAAAACCCACAAACCTATTTTATCTTATAATGACAAACACATTGTAGTGACACAAGTATGGAGATTAAGGATTCGAAAGTTCTCGCCCCCCCCTTGTCAGAGAAGCCCCTCTTCTTTTTCCCTTAAGAAGTTCCTTCAAAACCAGCAGGAAAATGATGAGTCGTCAGCCCACTACAGCAATCACTGCTTTTCAATAATGAAACAAGTGAAATGCTGTTTTCTTCAGAAGCTTTTAAAACCCACAATTATTTTCATAAGACTGCCTGAGACTGGAGATGAATGCGTAATCATCTTAGGTGATCTAGGGATGAAACTGAATACACTTACCAACTTCTAGATACTAATCTAATATAGCAGACTGCCAGATGTGAATTTCCTGGGCAAATTCCCTGTGGTAGATAAAAATCTCAGGGACTGTGAAAGGCTTCTGTAAAACTAACCATGGGAAATTAAAAATCTTCACTACATAGGATCACAACAGATCCCTGATAGAAAAAAAAAGACAGCATCAGCTACCTTGACAGCATAGTTTTCTTCTTTCTTGTTTCCAGATCCCTTGGAGGACTTTCTGTAGATCCCAAGATATATCTGTGCAGAAAGGTTAGAAGTTCTGGAGATTGGGAAAGAAGTAGATTAATTGGGAACTGAAGGTTGGAAAACACGCATCACTCTTTTTGAAACATGTACAGGAGCTGTCCCAGTTGTTGTTCTTGTAGGTCTTGAACACGGGCACAGCCAGGAATTCAGCTAGGATTACATCAGCCTCCAGCCCAGAGCCTGTTATCAGATACAGATGACCCCCGTCTGCAGAAATTTCAGAAGATACACCATGTTGGTTGAAGCCTGGATGTTGATGATCTTCAGAAAAAAATCCACCTGGAAATTTTGTCTGGGAATTTCAATGGGTTCTCTCCCCATTGATTTTTAGCAGATGAAGCACAATCCCAGAAATAACTTGATTTGGGGGCCAATGCAGATTGCCTGCCTGCATGGGCAATCAGTGCAAAGCCTTTTCTCAGCCAGTGTACACTGGCTAAAATATTCTATGTGTACTTGCATAAATGACAGTAAAATAGTCTTTTTACATACGTATATGAAAAGATTTTTTAAATTGTTACAGACAAGTTATTGTATTAAGCAAACTGCAGAGGTATCTCCAAGCAACCAGCCATGATAAGAAAATGTGCAATATTAGGTATACACGCAGCCATTATTTCAAGCAAAGCTATAGGAACAGGAAAAGTTGGGGAAGACTCACAAAGACACTCAGGTCTGTGAACGTTTAAAAGATTGAAGAAATGCAAAATTTTCCACATTACTTACCTTGAAATAGCACCTTATTCCTAAAACAAGGACATGACTAAAAAAGCAAGAGTAATATTAAAAGCAGATTTGACTGAACCAACATGGGATTTAAATTTACAACCTAAACTCACCATTCTTCTCAACAGCCTTTATTCTGCTGATAATATAACTGTGGGCTTGCTTAGTCGTCCAGTTAACTGTTCCATTATTGCCATCAGCAGAGCTTAACAAAAAAGCTTTTCAGAATAAAACAAACGCAAAAAAAAATTAGTCAGATCAATAGACTCCCACAAACCAAGTATCAGATGGGATCAGATGCCTTCTAAACCAGGTTTCTGTTTTAGTCAGAGTTTAGGAACCTCAGGTTGAAAAAAAAATGGTGGCGTTTTATTTGAATATTTAAACATATACTAATCTTTCTGACAGTCACCTTTTTGACACTCATTTTTCCAAATAAGCTAAGTTTACACTAAATGCTTAAGCCTCCACAGACGCTTCTACTGACATAATTATACTGATAATAAAAATGATGAAGAGCATTCTCTGATAAATATATTTGCATTGCAAAACCTCATATACAGGCAAAGACATATCTAAAGTTACTTTCACTGGCATAGTGTACTTTGGCCAAAGTCAGGAAAGTAATATAACCAAGAGCACAGCTTCGCTTAGATAAAGATGCTTTGCTTATATAGACACATGGGGCTGATCGCCTTGCCTTGCAGGCATAACCAATAATCAATTTTGAAAAAAGAACCAGTTGAAAATGGTTGTCTTCATCCCATGCAGCTAGAACATAGCCTGAAAACAGCTGGATCAGTGCAGCTGAAGGTGCAAGAAGGTTTAAATGTGGTGAGGAGCAAGTGATTACAGGAGACAGAAAGCAGCTGTGCAGCTGACAGAAAGACTCTGTTTCACCAGCAGCAGAACTGCCTGAGAAAGTTCCCTCCTCACTTCCCACTTTTTGCCCTTCTGTTCCCTTTCTTGTGGGATGAATAATAGATATATCAGCTGTTTGTATAGTTACACGCCAACTGAAAGTACAGAGGGAAGGAATTGCAGTCAGATGCTGGGAAAGGGAAAGTGGCCATAATAAACAGTCTTTCTTTTGAAATAGTTTGGGAACGAGAACTCATGTCAAACCCCAGTTAAAAGATGTTATTGGATTAGCATCTTAACTTCCTTGTAAAAATAGCAATATCAGAAACATCAAGTAGCAGTACTTGCATACAGATACACCTGTCTGCAAGAAGAAATGAACACTTACTGCCAAACACTCGAAGTATGCAAATATCATTTACACTAGAAGCTTAAACATCTGTGGAAACTTCTGCTGACATAGTTACACCGGTCAGCTATTACATTACTGATATCGCATTCTCTGAACAGAATTTAGGAGGCCCAACAGATCTGGCTTAAGCAGTAGTCAAGATACACAAATACTCAATCTATGCATGTGAGCCAGCCATTTATTAATGATAATTTACACAAAACACCTAAAACTGAATGGAGGATGAAGTGTAATAAAAAAATTATGCATTCAAATTACCATACCAACACAATAATGTTTCTAAATTATGAATTTCTGTTAAGTTTCTTTAGATTTTGAACATACACAAAGGATCTGATTTAACAAAAGGTATTATTCACATCCACTGTTTTACATCCGTCTTGCAAGATGGACAACTTTCTCCCTGCTAAATTGATCTGCATACACTGCAAGTCTTAATATAATAGTATCCTAGGGATTATCCGACTCAGTACTGCCTATGACATTTAGCGTAAATTTTCTATAATTCTTGGAACACTCAAGAAATTCTGAAAAGGTAAAATACAGTTGTTCCAATATTTCAACAGGATGAGCTGGGCGATCAGAGGCTTGTCAGCTACAAACCAGCACCAAGCAAAACAATTAATACAAGATTTGATTACTGAATTATTAAATGGAGAAAAGTATTATACTTATCACAGTCAACAAGGATTTAATGCATCTTTTCAGACACTTTTGATGAGCCCACAAGTTTTTTCTGATAAAGATAGCAATAATGACATGTTACCCTTAGATATATAGCATATCACCTAGCACTTTGATTGAGAAACTAGATACAAAATCATTCTAGCATATTCAAATGGAATAAAAAAAAAAAAAGAAGACAGGTTCCAAGATGTATTTTTTAATATAAATGATCAGTAAGTGTCTTTGATTTGGGTTCACAAGTTGTGCTAGGTTTAGCCGTGGGTATTAAAGAGGTTACCTGTCCACCTCTCCACCCTACACTGTATTTCACAGGGGAACTGAAAAAGCAACCAGTGTGCCTGTTTTCAGATCCTAGAGTTTACAGTGTGATGTTTTAATATAAATATATATCACCATTTATTTGATTTCAAATGACAGGTGTGAAATGAAACAATTCAGGAGCATACTGCCCATTCAACAGCTTTCACCACAGGAATGGCAGTCTCAAGCAAGAGAATAGGGCTACTGGATAGTTAATTTGTTATACGAGATTTCTAGTGGGCCTTACAAGGTTCTGGCATTGGCCTTATGCAATTTGACTTTTTTGAGATATATATAGATATAGATATATAAAGTGACCTGGATGTATAATATATACTGATAAAATTTGCAGGTAAAAACAAAGGCTAGCAGATTGACAAGTAATGGAGATGACATGCTACTAACACAAAACAGTCTGCATTGTTTGGTAAAAAGGTGATCAGTGATATGCACTTCAATAGAATAAAATATAAATGCATACCCAGGAACAAAAGCGGCATGCCATACGCACACTACAGAGTATGCACTTCAGGGATGCTGAACTTCGATAAAAAACTAGGGACATATGTCAGGTAATAACTGGTTGAACAGAAGCTTTCAGCAGAAGACTGGTTACAATGGCTGATACGTAAACAGCAACATCAAGGAGAAGCAGGGAGATTTTATTTTTGTACTTGACACAGATACAATCACTGTTCAAATGCTGTGTCTAGTACTTACACAGAGCCTTCAAGAAGCACAGTGACAACATGAAGAAAGATCAGGGAAGATCTGTGAATATGATTAAAGGATGACAAAAGAGGCCTTATACTATAGAATGCAGGGATTCAAACTATGCATTTTATCAAAGAGACAGTGTAGAATTAATTTGATCAGCCTTGTACTCAGGCTGAAAAAAATGTTAATGGTGTCAGGCTCTTCAGTTTGTTACACATGTTGCCACAGTTGCTGGAGCACCCACCAGTGCTTCCAACAGCAGGAGCAACTCACAGCTCTATACCTGGGACCTGAACATGCCCAGGTGAAGTACATCTACAGTGTTTTCTTTTTTCTTTTCTTTAATTATATTTTTCTTTAATTAATCTTTTAATTTTATTTTTCTTAAATTCATTTTTAAATTTTTCTTTAATACTTTAATTATATTTGTATTATTTTATAAATATAAATTATATTTCTATTATTTTATACTATTTCCCCCTTTAATCATATTTGCATAGGTTTTATGTAAAGTGTAAATATAAATTATATTTCTATTATTTTATACTATTTCCCCCTTTAATCATATTTGCATAGGTTTTATGTAAAGGTTTTAAATATTAATATTTAACAGCAGAATATTTAACACAGAAGATACCCACAACGATTTCTGCCCACCTCACAATCAAAAAAAGGACCAAAGTATCATGGACCAACTTCACCTTCCCCATTCTTTTATTGCACTGTAACATCCACACACCATCCTGCACCCTTACCTGTCCTCCTTATTGCTTCTTTGAAGTAGGATCTCAAACCCATCTCTCCCACTACTAATGCAGCACACAGCTCCAGCTCTCAAAACCCAGCATTTCCCCTCTCTCCCACACCTCTACCTGGGACCTGACCTAAGCACGTGCTTGCTACTTTCATGCCACAGACCAGGATCTCGGGCCATGCTTCTACCACTCCTTACTCTCTTACCACACAACCCTGCTCCAAAAAACCACCCTTGGACTCCTCTACTGCATATCCCATCTGGCTCAGAGTCCTTCCTGCATCCTGAGCTGGAAGCACAGGTCCATGGGGCAGATTTCTGACAGGCTGCTGAGAGCCACGGAGCAGAACAGTTAGGAACTGACACCACCAAGCTGAAACAAAACATCTGTCAAGAGGGAACCATCTGCATTGAGGTGCTTAGCCCACAGCTCAAATCAGAGCCTGTACCCAAGGCAGTTACTGAGGATCCAGTGGTGTCTGCACGGAGATACTTGCCCAATTGGTCACATCTTCCACTAGAGGAGGCAAAAGTTGCACCACCACCTACTCTCCCTCTTCTTCCAACCTCCACACCCCTTCCTCTTACCTAATATGCAGTCCATAAGCAACCATCACTGCAGAAATTTAGTATGAATTAAAGTAGATTCTCTCAGTGGAAATTCACATCAAGATTGGATATATATTCTATATATTCTAACAAATAAGATCCTCTTCAACAACAGCTACTACATAAGAAATAAGAATTAATTTGTGTTAGTTCTCCATTGTGGATTGCTCAGGTCCCTCTGCACTCCATTTATTATAACCGTGTAAAAGTTCAAATCAAACCCACAAATGTTTCTAAGCTCTATACTTATTCATCTTTGTTCAGTAGGTAATGGTTTCCCACCTGTTTCTGTGCTATCCATTGATTACTGTAACATCTGAATATTTCTCCAAGATCATTCGAGAAAAGTAACTGAATAAGGCGTTTTGTCAGTTTCACTGTGAAACTTCGGCATCTGCATTCTTGGGAATGCTGCAAATTAAGTACTGGGAGAACAAAAACCTCATGCTTTATTAATAGTAACATTTACCCACCACCATTCTCCCTCCTACTGCAGGCCTGACAAGAGAATCAAATTAGATTAGCTTTTCCATGAAGGTGAGGAAAACATTGCTAATTCCTGCCTTCCAGCCCCAAGCCCATGGTGTAACCAAGGTGTATGGCCAGGTCACCCTGTAAGCCTGCTATTCCAGGATGCCCCCTACATTTCTATCATCTCTTGATATGAATTATCAGAGTATCCCTGCAATTACATTCCAAATTTCTGAGGTTGCAATTGATTTAAAAGACTAAAGGAATTCAGAAAAGTCATAGATTTCAAGACGCTGAGATTTCTGTCTGAACACTAGATTGTTCTTTCTAACTTCTCATCTTCATGGCTTGGACTACCACTAAAAATAATCTACATTTAAAAGGCAGTTT